ATTCTTCCTTGCCGGCGTTGAGTCCGTCTGCAAGTAGATAGCTTTTTTTTATTAGGCTGGAACTTGGAAGTAGCTACGACAGACGGAAATAAATTAGTAATTTCAAAATAAATTGCAGTGGTAGATTATTGTAAAGTTTGGGTGTTTCAAAGTTATAATTTGGAAAAAACAGTACTATAATTTATATGATTGTTAGTTAAATGATTGATTTTGGTGGAATGTATCATAAAAATTGATATGTGACTAAAACGTAAACAACAATTAATGAATGTACATAATTGTAATTATATTTATCAATCATAATTAAGTTAATTAAAAATAATTAATAATTAATTAATAGGTGTGAACACAGGCGTACGCCATACACCAGGTGTACGCTAGCCTTTGCCATATATATATATATATATATATATAGGTGGCTACTTCGGTGCACTCACTTTTTTGGGTGCATTCAGTGCACCCACCTCTAAAAGTGGTCATAATACATCAAATTTTGAAATTTAATGGGTAGCATTAGTCTCATATGATGATATAACACAGAATCACAACTAATCAACTCATTACCCTAACCTATTAACATTCAATTTTGAATCTAAACCCAAAATCCCAAATTGTAAACCCTAACCCTAACCCTAAATTCCTAAACCCCGAATCATCCAAATTAAAGTGAATCTTGAATGATTTTTGTACAAATTCATGTGGTTCTTGTTCATCATACTACAAGGGATGATTGACATCGTTTTCACATGAATCGCCTGCTCAGAATGACGATTATGAGGCGGGTGCATTGAATGCACCCAAAAAAGTGGGTGCACCGAAGACATAACCATATATATATATATATATATATATATATATATATATATGTATATGGCGAGTTCTACGGTACCCTGGGTAAAATCCGGGGTACCGCGTACCTTGAGTATGAAAACGGTATCTAGACCTTGAATTGACCGATCTTTCGGACATGATACTATACTCTAACCCTTAAAGATCAAAATCTAGGTCTTAATTCTCCCAATCTTATACTCCAAGATCAATTTGATTAGAAACAATAATCAACGATTATGATTCGTCCAAATATAGACACAAAGAGGAATGCACCATCTTAGTGTTTATAGATTATGATTTATATAATTAGGACCTAGGGTTCACTCATTAAGGGTTAGGGTATAGTATCAGACCCAAAAATCATGCTAATTCGAGTTCTAGATACCGTTTTCATACTCAAGGTATGCGGTACCCCGGATTTCACCCGGGGTACCGTAGAAGGCACTATATATATATATACTGTGGATGCCACAGTGCTGCTGCGTGCATGGTAGCCAAGATTGCAGTTTGGATTGTGTTCTCTTGGGCTAGCCTGGATGATGCACAGGGTTCTGAAGCCCTAGAAGAAGAGGTTGTTGAACGGGAAATGCAATTGAAGCTAACTAAAGTCGTACAGGTCAATGGGGAAGTGAATCCCTTGGCCAAGCTGAAATAAGACTTGTGGGGTGACATTATTAGCGGAGATTGCTTCTTACCAACTTTGAGTCATGCGTGGAAGTCAAGGATTAAGGTTACTAGTGGCAATGAGAACCATGGCTGCTCGACAATGGTTAGGTTAGCACTTAGCAGGATCACCGATGGAGTTAGAGAAGGTTGGGAAGGGATGAACAATGGTGGCGATGAGGGTGGTTATTATTATGAAGGAAAAGCAAAGCCAATAGGGTCGGAGGAGTTTAAAACGAACGAGCAAGCAGCAATTATGGTGACGATGGTCATGGTGTACCACTACGAGAGGGCAAATTTAGCGGAGAAGCTGGTGGATTATGGAACTTCATGCGATGAAGTTTTGTTGGCTACGATTATCCGCTTGAGTTCATGTTTAGCTTCATTTTCAACGTGTTTTTATTCTTGTGTGCTATCGATCGTGTTAGTGTTGATGTTTTGTTTCAACCTTGAGGTCAAGGTTGTTTTTATGGGGGTGGACTGATGGAGGCACGAGTAGAATTTAAGGGTATTTTAGTAAGTTTAGTCGGGTAGGTTGATTAGGGTTTTGGGTTAGCGTCTATATATTGTCGTTCACCTATTTCGTTAAAATTAATCAAGAAATAATCAAAGAATAGTTCTACGTATCTTCCAACCTTAATTTCCTGTCTTCTCCCTGCATCAGTCGCCGACCTCTTCTTGCTTTTCTCTCCGAAATCTTCATCTAAATCTCTACCTATTTCTATTCGTAATTGCGTCCTATCACGACAATCTCGGGTGCCAAGATCCGTGCATTCATCACTAACGCCACCAGAATCACCGCAACGAGGAGAAGTATACCATCACTGCAGCATCCTTTCAAACCCATATCTTTAATTTACCAGCTCCTCTTTTTGGTTATCTAATATCTCTGTAGCTACGTCTTGTGTTGTGATAGAACCAGGCTCTAGGATTCTATTGGGAATTGGAATTTAGGGATTAAGAACAGAATTAGGGATTTGAGAAGAGAAAGATAGAGAATCGGCCTAGGCCTTTAGAGGGATTGGGAACGAGAATTGAGAGGATTGGGAGAATAGGGTTTTGGAGATTGTTTCTTAATATTCTTCTTATTGATTCCGAATGAATAGGCCTATTACATATTTATAGCGAATATAGGAAAACATTACTAATAAACCTAATTCTACCAGAATACTACTAACCATAATAAGAATTACCCTATTCGTAATTATAATAATAAATATAGAAACCCTAACTATGTTGGTTTCTAGCATCTCCTCCCCTTCAAACCAACCTTGTCATCAAGGTTGACCGTCTTGACCCAAATTTTCTTCCTTCCCCCGCAATTTGCAAGCTAACTAACCCATTTCTTGCGCTTCTGTTTCTTTCAATCATGCTCCACTCTCTGACCAGGCCTTCTTTCTTCACCCTCCTGGGGCTGCCCCATGGTCGTGACTTGCATTTCCAGTGGCATAACCCTCGCATCCTCGAAGTATTCAAACTTCAATAATTCTTCTTTCGCAATCATCGACCTCCAGCAACTCAAGGGACTTAAAAATTCATTCTCGTTCAAGAACTCATCCTTAAGTACCAACTCATCAAGACCTGCAAATTTTATTAATGGAGGTAGCCCATAAACTTCTCCAATTGCATTTAGCCCATGCTCTCTTGTAAGCCCACCAACTAAGCCTCTACACCCTTCCTCTAAGCCCACCTTCTTCAAAACACAGCCCATATTGACCTCAAACCCTTCTTGTCTCGGCCCAACACCATATAATAGTGCACTTGTTAAGTTGTATTTGGGAGGTCCCAAAGCTGGCCCGTGCGAAGCCCATCTCGGTTCCACCCGAAGATCTTCCTCGACCCACTGCAACCTCAACTCCGGCCTGTCCTCAGACTTTCTCTCGGCCTGCTTCCTCCCAACACTCGGCCCACCTGTTCCCCTCAGCTTCTGCCCGCCAAGGCCTAAATGAGTCGACCCAAAGCTTGATCCGTCCGACCTCAAGCATAGGCCTTTAGAGGGATTGGGAACGAGAATTGAGAGGATTGGGAGAATAAGGTTTAAGAGATTATTTCTTAATATTCTTCTTATTGATTCCGAATGAATAGGCCTAGTATATATTTGGGTTAATACCTTATTTTGGCCCGAACTATGATCATATAATCAACTTTGGCACGTGGTTTCAGAAAATAACATATTGGCCTCAACTATGCAGCATATAGACTAAATTGGCCCGACACATGCTTTGACCGTCAATTTGGACGGTCAACACCATTGACCGTTAGTCAACACGCCATGTCATTGCCTAATCAACCTAAAAATCATTAAAATTTTGAAATTCAATTTCTAATTATTATTATTTATCATTTTGAAACTAACCAAAATTTAAAATTTAAAAAATATAAAAAAATTGTATGTTTTATCTTTTGGGACATTTGAAAATGTTAAGTTTAAAAAAATTATATATATTTTACATTTTATTTGAGTAATTTAAAAAATCTATAATCTTTTGATAATTTATAAAATGTTTCATTTTAAAATTACCGAAAAAAGAAAATTTAAAATTATTTTATGTTTTTATATTTATATTTTTTTGTTTAATTTGATAATGATAAATAATAAAAATTAAAAATAATTTGAATTAGAAAAATTATTTTTTGGTTTATGTTTTTTATATTTCCTACATTTATAAAATTTAATTTGATAATTTGTTTTAATTTATAAAATTATCATTTTCAAATGTCCCAAAAGATAAAACATAAAATTTATTATATATTTTTTGAATTTTAATTTTTGGTTAATTTCAAAATGATAAATAATAATAATTATTAGAAAAATAATTTGAATTTCAATTTTTTAATGATATTTAGGCTGACTAGCAATGACATGGCGTGTTGACTAACGGTATAAGGTGTTGACCGTCCAAATTGACGGTCAAAGCATGTGTCGGGCTAATTTAGTCTATATGCTGCATAGTTGAGGCCAGGATGTTAATTTTTAAAACCACGTGCCAAAGTTGATTATAAGGTCATAGTTCGGGCCAAAATAACGTAGTAACCCTATATATTTATAGCAAATAAGGAAAACCTTACTAATAAACTTAATTCTACCAGAATACTACTAACCATAATAAGAATTACCCTTACCCTGTTAGTAATTATAATAATGTTACCCTGTTAGTAATTATAATAATGTATATAGAAACCATAGGTTTATCATGTTGTGTGTATATGTAGGATAGGTATACGTTAGTGCAGGTTTCGTTGCAGTCTCCAAAGGATTGGGTTGGCCTGAAACCAAGAATTTTTTATCATCCGCATGCACGTTACAGTTGAAAGAAGAATTTGCAAAGTTTGACTGTTAAAATACCAGTCCCGTTGAAACCCATCTCAGCTAAGGTCTATCTGTGAAAAAGATCTCACAGGCCTCTAGACCTGTTAGATCAAGAGCAGACAATTTGCAGTCGTTGGATGAACACAGTGGCATGCCATATTGCCATTGCATTAAATGGCTGATGAAAGCCCTGCCTGGTTAGTTGTCATACGATTCCAAACCTTTTGATTTATGTGAGACAAGACAGAATGCAGGCCACATAACACAAACTCATGTCTGTGGAGCTTCAATGCATTCATGAGTTCTTCCACAGACTGCTACGATTACGAATCATCAAACTTTTGTTGACAATTCAACATTGTTCATGAATTACAGTATCTGAGAATCCATCAACGACCTAATGACTTGCTGAGCTAGCAATGCTCATTCTATTCACATCCCAAAAGTCCTCACCCTCATTAAAACTGAGCTTGTCTACAGGCTACAGCCAGCTAAAGAGGGGTAGGCAAGCTGTACGTTACAAGTTGCCCTACCAATATCATACTGTGAGAAACACGGATAATCGAATTAGAAATTAGGGTTGAGAATAGAAGAATTAGGGTTGAGAATTGGGAATTGGGATGAGGAATTAGGTTTAGGAATTCTGATATTCTGCTTGATTAATCGGAAATAACAAAGACTGTAGCTTAAATAGTTCTCCCTCTCTAATAATGACAAATTACCCAAATACCCCAAAGAGCCCCTCGGCTCCCCCTACACCGTGCTTCTCACACTCCCCCCCTCTTCCAGACCGAGTTTGTCCTCAAGATCGAAGGCCGGATAAGTCTGACGAATCGTCTCCGTGTCCTCCCAAGTAGCGTCCTCCGGTGCCAAGTGCCTCCACTGAATCAAGCTCTCCGAGACCCGTCGTTTGCCTCGCAGAGGCCAGCGCACGTCCAACACAGCCTCAGGCTACAGCTCCAAAGCGCCATTTTCATTCACCGGCGGCTCGGGTGATGTGGCCGGCGGCGCTACTCCTCTGTACCTGCGCAGAAGTGAAACATGAAAGGTCGGGTGAATCCGAGTCGTGTCGGGCAGCTGCAACCTGTACGCCACGGCCCCAATCCGCTCCAGCACCTGGTACGGCCCGAAATATCGAGCTGCGAGCTTCTGGTAAGCTCTCCTAAATACGGATGTCTGCCGGTATGGGTGTAGCCGGAGTAGAACCCAGTCGCCCACTGCAAACTCCTCTTCTCGCCTTCCGGAATCCGCCTGCTGCTTTGACCTGTTGTTGGAAGCGGCCAAATTGGCCTTCAACTGTTGCAGTGCCTCGTCCCTGTCTGCTAACCACCTGTCCACCATATCCACTGCACTCGCCCCTGACTGGTACCGGACTAGCATCGGCGGCGTCCGCCCGTAGAGAGCCTCGAAGGGAGACATCTGAATAGATCGGTGGTACGTGGTGTTATACCACAGCTCCGCCCAGGGTAGCATAGCGAGCCAACGGTGCGGCTGCTGGTGAGCAAAACATCGCAGGTACTGCTCCAATATCTTGTTCACCACCTCGGTCTGACCATCTGTCTGTGGATGATAGGCCGAACTCATCTTCAACTCCGTTTTCGCCAAGGCGAACACCTCCTTCCAGAACCTGCCCAGGAACAAGGCATCTCGGTCACTCACTATCGAGCGGGGAAACCCGTGGTGCCGAATGACCCCCCAGACAAACTGCTCTGCTACACTCCGGGCAGTATACGGATGAGCTAGGGCCATGAAGTGTGCGTATTTGGTGAGGCGATCCACCACCACCAAGAGAACTGTCTTTCCACCAGATGGCGGAAGACCCACTATGAAGTCCATGCTAATATCTTCCCATACCCTCTCTGGCACCGGTAGTGGCTGAAGTAGTCCTGCTGGCCTTAACTGGGAAGCCTTGACCCGTTGACACGTGTCACAGGATGCAACATAATCCTTGACCTCGCGGGTCATCTTGGGCCAGTAGAAATGACTGCGAATCTTCCTCAAGGTCCTCTCGTACCCCGAATGGCCTCCCACCGGTGAGTCGTGAAATTCCCTCATAACAGTCGTCGTGAGGGAGGTGGCTGGCGGTAGAACCACTCGACCCCGGTGGAACACCAAGCCGTGCCTGAAGGTATAGTTGCCCGGTGTCGGGCTCAGAGCGATATCCCGGCGCTCCTGCAGGAACGGACTCGACTCCACTGCCCTTCTGACCTCCTCCCAGAACAACACCACCGGCCCCGTCACTGCCGCCACCTGCGGCCTCCACTCCACCCGCGAAAGGGCATCTGCGGCCTTGTTCATCGGCCCCGATCTGTAGTGCAACTCATAGTCGTACCCCATCAATTTCACCACCCACTTATGCTGGTCTGGAGTAGACACCCTCTGGTCCATCAAGTGCTTTAGACTCTGGTGATCGGTGTAAATCCGGATCTTCTGACCGATCAAGTAGGGCCTCCACATCTGGACCGCTTCAGTAATGGCATGCATCTCCTTCTGGTAGGTGGACCAAGCCTCCTTAGATGGAGGAAGAGTACGGCTCATGAAGGCAATCGGGTGCCTCTCCTGGGAGAGAACCGCCCCAATTCCCCGGCCAGAGGTGTCAGTCTCGATGTCAAAAGGCTGGGAGAAATCCGGTAAGGCCAGGACTGGCGTCGACGAGAGGGCGGCCTTGAGCTCCACAAAAGCTCGCTCTGCCTGGGGATTCCAGCTGAATCCCCCTTTATTCAACAGGGCATTCAACGGACCGGCTATAGAACTGTACCCCTTCACGAACCGTCGGTAGTAGCCAGTGAGACCGAGGAAGCCCCGCAGCTCCGTTGCCGACTTCGGGACCGGCCAGTCCATCATGGACTGAATCTTCAGCGGATCCACCCTAACTCCATCTCTTGAGATCACATGCCCCAGATAGTCCACTGACTGGACCCAAATGCACACTTCGAAGCCTTCACATAAAACTGGTTGCTCCGTAATATCTCAAACACCTCCTGCAAATGCTGCATATGCTCTTCCCAAGTCTTACTGAAAACCAGAATGTCATCAAAGAATACCAAGACTGACCTGCGAAGCAAGGGCCGGAAAATATCGTTCATGGCAGCCTGGAACGTCGATGGTGCATTACAAAGCCCGAATGGCATCACCAGGTACTCATAGTGGCCACTGTGCGTCCGGAAGGCCGTCTTAGGAACGTCCTCCTCATGCATGCGTATCTGATGATATCCGGCCCTCAGATCGAGCTTAGTAAAGTACTGGGCACCTCGCAGCTCATCCAACATGTCATCCACCGTGGGAATGGGGAAACGATCACGGACAGTGGCGGTGTTGAGGGCGCGGTAGTCAGTACAAAACCTCCAAGTGCCATCCTTCTTCTTCACCAGCAACACCGGCGAGGAGAACGGGCTGGAGCTCGCCCGAATCAGCCCGGCCGTCATCATTTCCTCCACCTGCCTCTCGATTTCGGCCTTCTGGTTATGTGCATACCGATAGGGGCGAACGTTAACAGCGTCCGTGCCCTCCTTCAGCCGAATTCGATGGTCCACCTGGCGCTGTGGAGGAAGCTGAGTCGGCTGCCCGAAAAGCTCTGCATACCTGTCCAACAATGCCTGCATCTCCGGGGCTAGCTGCTGCTGATAGGAGGTCCCCAGCGGCCAACAGAGCACTGCCAGCTCTACATCAGCCGCCAGCTGCGGGTCACCCAACTCCACCGGCCCAGTTGCCGTGGTCAACCCCCGAAGCTCCCAGTCCTTGTCCCTCCATTTGAACCGCATCACCATTTTCACCCAGTCACTAGTCACCAGTCCTAAGCTCTTCAGCCAAGGCATGCCCAGAATGATGTCGAATCCCTGCAATGGTAGGACGTACAAGTCAAGAGTGACCTGTAGCCCTTGAATCATCACAAGCACGACTGCCAATTTCCCGGTACACTGCAGCGGCGCCCCATTGGCCACCGTCACCTCGAACGGAACGATGGTCACCTGTGATGTGGGTAACCGACGTACAAACTCTGCTCCCACGAAGTTGAGAGAGGCCCCGCTGTCCACCAGAGCCACTCCCCACTCCCCGGCGACCTGCGCCCAGAAACGCAGCGTGGCCGAGCCCGCTGTCACCCCCGCGGCCACGGCGGAGATGGCCTCCTGCCCGCCGCCGCCATCCTCCGCCTGCTGGGCTACCGCCGCCGCCGAGGATCGCCCTTCCTCCCCGAGCAGACGACGCGGATTGGCCCCGCTCGCCGCGCGCCGACGTCCCCCTCTCCGCCGCGGTCGCGGCTTCCTCCGACGCGAACAGCTCCCGCCGCGGCGCTGCTGTAGAGCCCGCTGGGACAGCGGTGGTCGGGCCCTCCCTTGCGTCGCCCCGTTGCCGCCAGGTAGCGGCTACGCGCTCCAATCGATCGAGAACCGCCTGCAAGCGATCGTCGAGCGAACGCTCCTGGTCCCCATCTGAGATTCCTGTAGAACTCATATCGACAGGCTCTGATACCAATTGTGAGAAACACGGATAATCGAATTAGAAATTAGGGTTGAGAATAGAAGAATTAGGGTTGAGAATTGGGAATTGGTATGAGAATTGAAGAAGAGATGAGGAATTAGGTTTAGGAATTCTGATATTCTGCTTGATTAATCGGAAATAACAAAGACTGTAGCTTAAATAGTTCTCCCTCTCTAATAATGACAAATTACCCAAATACCCCAAAGAGCCCCTCGGCTCCCCCTACACCGTGCTTCTCACACATACATAACAGAAGATGCTGAAAGTGTAGCTCCAGTTGTCTTCTTCAGCAGCTCCAACCCTTGTAGTTATAGGGAACATTGGGGAACTAAAAATCAACCCACACAAGTTATAGAGTAACTAAAAAAACAAAGATTGCATAATAAGTTATAGTAGCACTATTTAGAAGAAGAAAATATAAGCTGTTGTCTTCAGATGAGCGAAAGAATGGCGGGATTAATTTTATGCAGCTGAAAGTTGCAATCATTTAAACCAGCTGGCAACTTACCATCATTTGCTTTGCTTAGCAGCAACAGTCCTCTGGACAGTGGACACTCCATCCACGAACTTGGTCCGGAAAAGAACATTGGCGTTGTTGAACATGCCTTCTTTCAGAGAAACCACAATGAACTACAACATCAAGTTTTGGAGGGGAGAAAAGCATCAGACTGAAGTTCTGGTAACAGAGTCCACTGAAATAACTGGTTGTGGTAAGCACAAAAAAATATACGAGTAAAACCGGGAGTAAAAAAAAACATTAGAAGAATGGTAGGACCTGAGAGTGTGGGAAGTGAGTTTTAATCATTCTTCCAATGTTCTGGGTATGACTCAGATCCAGTGCTGCATCAACCTGCCAACCACAAAGCATAAATCTCAGATGTTACTTCAGCCAAGAAATAATAGCAGTGACAGATCATGTCGAACTGATGTGGTGCAATATAGACACTTGAGATAATAAGTGAAGCACAGACCTCATCAAGAATGTAGAGAGGAGCCGGCTTGAAGAGCAGAAGTGCAAGTATTAAAGACAGAGCTAACAGTGATCGTTGACCTCCACTAAGTTCCGACAACGACTGTTTCCATACACTGCCAAATGCAACTCGAACCTCCAGACCATCTAAGAAGCTACAACCTTCTGGTGGTTCTAGCTTTGCCATGGTGCCCGGTAATAGTGTAGAGAATATGGATCCAAAGTCACTGAATATATTTGACAATGTCAGTGATTATGGTAATAATTGCTGTGAAAGAACACAATGTGTTACATAAAACCCCCAACATAACTTGCCTGTTAACTTTCACCCAGGTAACTTTAAGTGTTTCTTTCTTCTTCTCATCGAGCTCCTCGATCACTTTCGTTATTTTGGATTTGTCAGTCTATGGTAAACACAGAGTTAGAGCAACACATTTAAGGATCGACTAACACAAAAAGATCTTTTAGCAGCATGATAAGGATAGCCACCTCGATAATGTTTTTCTTGGACATCAAGTCATTGTATTCATCCTCTGCTTTCTCAAACATTGCCATTACTTTCTTGTTCACCCTTTTCTCCAAACTGCAGTAGGTTTATATACAAAAACGATACTGAGCAACAAGCATCACTAGGTAATAGAACATGCAAATCTAAAAACTGCAGAAAGGTGTGTATGTATGTGTGTGTTGTGCACAAAACAGAAGGATAGTTATTCTTATGCAGAAAGGTAGGTGAAGTCGCATCCTTTCACTTTCCAAGCCCCGAGGTTATATAACAGATTGCACTGTCACAAAAACCCTTTACTCACCCGGATTGCTCTGCTTCTAACTTCTCCAGTTCCGCCCTAGCCCTATGAGGATCACGTGATTCAAAATCATAATCAGTTCCACTTCTTCCGAATAACTGTTTCTCAGTTGCAATCCAAGCATGCTTCTCCAGCAGTTTCTCCACTCTAGTAGAGCAATCCTTGTGCTCCATTTCCATTCTTTTTACCTATTACGGAATGGTAAAACATCATGTTTTAGATTGTTGAGCATGCAAAGTGGTTAGTGCAAAACTAAAAATTTACCTCATTTTCCAACTTCTTTCGCTCAAGCTTGATCTCAGTAATTTTGTGATGCCGCTTTTGCTGTTCCTTGACAATGCTACTAATTTGGGTATCACACTCTTTCATCGTAAGGCGGACAGAATCAAGCTCAGATTGAGCACTATCACAATTCACGCGTATGGATGCTACCTGCAACAGTAGCTTTGTTCAAGTACCCGAGCAACTACGTGCATAATACATGTAACAGAGTCCCGAACCAGGTCTAGATATTTACCTTGGCTTTTTGTTCTTCTACGTCAACACCAAGACTATTGATTTGTGCATTCAGCGAGGCTAATTGACTCTCTAATGATGCCTGTTCTTTGATGACTGCTTCACGTTCCAAAACCAGCCTCTCTCTTTCATGTTCATGCTCCTATTAACAAGAGGAAACATATTAACAACTGTATGCAAATATTCAGTTAGAGAACTCTTAGCATTTCACAGTATGAAACTTTTGGTGGGTACAATTTAACAATTCAATAGCAATCCAGGCAGAATAGAGAAAGCATTCCTGACCTTGAGATCCTTCGAAGCTGACTGCATTTGGGCCTTCGTCTTCTTAACCTTCTTCTCCAAATCTTTTAGCCTTGTTTCCCGACTATTGTCATGCTCCTTGATTGACTTCTCAAGCTGTGCAACAGAGCTGACACACTGATCATACAAGTTTTGCTTTTCTTCTGCTGCAACTTTTGCATTGTCAAGATCTTGCTCAATCTTCTTCACCAATTCACCAAGCTATGACACAATGGAGTGAGAAAAGACACAGCATGAATCTCTCGATGAACAGGCCTGTTAACTTATGAACAGAGTTAGATATACAACCTTATGATGCTCATTTTGTTCAGCCCTCCCTTGAAATAGTGAAAGATCATACATCTTCAGCTCTAGTTGTTTCCTCAGATCCACGAACTTTCTGTAAAGAGGCAAGAGCTCCTTGATCTGCATTGAAGATGCATAAAACAGACAACTCACTACAGTAAGAACATCATTTAATGGAAGCTAGGAGCCACGAACCGAACCTCCAAAGAGCACTGATCTATATTCCATGAAGCTTAGACCATTTATTAAAGTAGAGAAGGAAAGGACGCACAAAAAGGGAAAAGGAGACTGATGCCACAACAAAGTACTACACCCACTAAAGACAAGCTCTCAATGAAATTTATGGTCTGAACAATGCTATGCCAGATAAACGGACACTTACTGTTAACTCGAAATAGACTATGTAACTATTCAGCACATGGGAAAAGAAACTGCCTTGATATGCACTAAAACTTTCTTCTTCTAGCTTTCTTCTGCATTTAAGAAAAGAGTTTCCTGAATCTACCTTGGCATCAATCTCAGACAACCTTTCCTGATGCAGTCTAAGCTTTGATTCAGCTTCTGCCAATTCATGAAGTTGCCTTAATAGATCACCGCCACCTCTGTGACAAAGAATTCATAGCCATATTAACAATCCTCCTCTGACATATATATATAATGCATTCATAAATATAGAAGTTTATATACTATACTTAAAGATAAAGAAATGGTATAACTAGCCAATTCTGATGGCATAACAAACCCTCAAAGAGTCGCAAGACTTTGGGTGTTCAAAAACAATCAAGGACGAAAGGATTGCTATTTAACACTTTCTGAAAGCAACTGCAAATTCCATTGGCAATACTAAAGCATATGAGCAACAAACCTGCGGCTACCACCAGTTAAAAGGCCACTCGGTTGAAATACGTCGCCTTCTAGAGTAACACTTGGTGTCCGAATTTCTCGACTAAAAGCAACCTGAAAATTACTCGATGAATGACAGATATAAGGCAGATGAGAAACATAACCTGGTAACTAATTGATATGCCCCTTAGAATGGCCTCGTGGTTCAAAGAGTAACAATAACCAAAAGGAAAGACTTACCTCCTTTGCAGCGTCAGTCGTTTTGCAGACAAAGGTTGATCCAAACACATATTCCATAGCATTCTGCAATAAACAAATCAAGTTTAGTGGCTTAAAAAATCAAGTTTAGAAAAAAACAGTATCACAGGCAACAGGCTTTTGGAGTAGGCAGGATAGATATTTGAAGAGGGCATACAAAACAAGAGATAAATTGAACATTGCACAGTGTAGAAACCCTCAAAGTGGGAACTGGGACGATGCACAGAACCAGTACTAGAAAGAAATAATTTTCAGGATAGGGGAATAATACCTTTAATTCTTCATCATAACCCACTAAAGAAAGTGCCAATTCTGCATTCTCTTTCCCGACCTGAAAATTCGACCATATATATCACAGATTTATCTTCTTCAAGCAATGACTGAAGAAACAATAAAAGAGACATTAAATCAAGAGTTATGTAGAAATCACCAACCAACTTAGCAGCAGCCTGCTGAACTCTTGGCGGTACTCGGTGGGCTTGAATTTTATTTAGAGGAATAATTGTTACTCTTCTGCGAAGTTCACCATTTTGAAGAAGTTGCTTTCCAGTATTTTCAGTGTCGACAACTACATTATACAACTTTCCACCAGCAGTAACCTGCTGGCAAGCACAATGTAAGAACACACACAAGTTTGTTAAAGCATAAAATCCAAATGGAATACACAGTTTCCTTACCTCTAAGGCAGTCATTGCTGATCTATCCTTCACTTCAATTAGCTTTGCTACTACCCCTTTAACTTTGGTCCGGTCAAAGTTTTTCACCGGATCACGGTAAGTGAACTGAACGTTTGATAAGTGTGCTGAGCGAGCTCTTGTTTCGTCTTTTAGCTTCTGCATTAGCTCCATCTCGGAAGCACGATCCTAAAGAAGGTAAGTTATAGAAAGGCATTCAGGTGATAAGGAGTCATAAGTAAGTCCATCTTGAAGGACAATGTAGGCCAGGAGATATAGTATATGAACCTTTTCTAGAGATTCCATCTGGCCCTCTCTATATGGAAGAGATTCCAATGCCGATTTAACATTATTCAGATCTTTTTGCCTAGCATTCAGTTCATTCTCCACCGAAACTGCTTCTTCACGCTTTGAATTCAATTGCTTCCTTTTGTCTTTGAGCTCCTTTTCACAATGGCTAATTTTTGTTTTTAATTGCTTTAGTTCTGTTTCTGCATTGCCAACAGCACCTTTAGCTTCACTTAATTGATCTTCAAGGCATTTCTCTTCATTCCCACTGCTCTTGCCAGCTAGCACACCCTGTCAAACCACTTTGATGAGCGTATGGAATATGAAATCAAAGCATTTGGAATGTGAAATCAAAGCATTTCTCAGTACCACGAATAAAAATGATCAACTTGCTACACTTACTTGGTATTCTTTCTCGTACTCTTCCAAGCTCTTTGAAAGTTGCCCAGCCCTCTGCTTGACATCAGCTGCTCCATCTTCGCATCTTTTCACAGCAGTGGCTTTATCTTCTATGGACTGCTTCAGGTCTTCAATATTGTGGACAATCTAATAAATCAATAGATTTTCAGATTATGGTACAAAGAGAAACGGAAAAAGAGAAATAAATTAAGGACAGCAAAACTCCAAGTGCTTAAAAACAATCAATAAGATCAGATCAGATCAGGACACCTTTTCAGCATTTTGCCTTTCCCCCTGAAGAGTATCCTCTTTATTACTCAACACAGACACCTCGCGTACAAGGTCCTGAGAGAGCGCATCAACTTTATCCGACAAGACTTTTACTTCTCCCCCCATTCGGGCTTCTTTTTCAGCTGTCAATTTCGACACCTCAGTCTCCATATCCTTTATCTCAACTTGCATCTTTTCAGTATTCTCGTCAATCTCTCTAATCTTCCCTTTGATTTCCTCCACCTCACCAACTGCAGTGTCTCTTATCCTCTCAGCTTGAACATACTCATAGGCAATACAGAACCTCTTCAGCCGATCCAATTCCGCGTTGCCATTAGCCCATTGCATATACTGCAGTCGTTCCTTCCTCAACTTCTCCAAAGCAGGTAGTATTTCATGGTCAAGAAGCTTATTAATCTCATCAACCTTGCCCTGCTTCTTCTCAAGCGTTTTCAATGCAGACTCCTTCTTTGTCTCGTACATTCTTGTTCCAGCAGCCTCCTCAAGCATAGATAAGATCTCCGGAGGTTTCATATTTAAGACCTTCGTAATGCGGCCTTGCATAATGAGAAAATGTGGATTGTTGACATTCAGCTGCACTGAATGGAATAAGTTCTGGACTTGACTAGGTTGAGCAAGCTTCCCATTTATAAGATACTTGTTCCTTCCTCCAACCACAATCTGCAAATCACCCATAAAGATTGGTCTCTTGAAGCAATAAACAAGTTGAGCAATTTCATACATCTTGGTAGCATCTGCCGAAATCTCTAGATTAGCAAACAAAATGCATACCTCCCTCGAGTGTCAGTTGTGAGATGACAAATTAGTGATTCAAGAAAAGAGAACCTATGATATAAGGTTTACTGTCACTAACCTGTCTAGTAACAGTGATTTCGGAATGGTCTTCGTATCCAAGAGGACTCCTGCTCCGATCCGAGTTATCGAACACAACAGAGACCGTGGCCTTCGTAATTCCTGCTTGACCTTGCTTGTAGACGAGCTCCTGGAGGTTGGAAGCACGAACCTGCTGCAAATTGGTAATTCCCAGCACGAAGCAAATTGAATCGAGGATGTTCGATTTGCCAGAACCGTTGAGCCCAGTGATAGCATTGAAGAACGGATCGAAACCCTTTACCACCGTCCTGGTGGCATAAGATTTGAACCCCTCCAAGCATACCTCCTTGACGTACATTTCCCCCTCTTGAATCTCAAACGAGAAACCCTAGCAGGTGCCGAGGAGGTCCTTGAAGGAGAATGGACAGCGGGAAATGAAGCCGGCGTTTGGAAAAGGCTCACTTCAGGGGTTTCCGAGTTAGAAAGCCATGAATCGCTGAGCTGAGCCCGGAAGTTCGAAATGAAAGATGCAGAACGAGTTCAGAAGCTTGTGTGACTGTGGAGTTTGGACTGTGGACTGTGGAGGGAGACGGACGCCGATTTTTCGAATTGTTTGGGATGACGCGCTATCTGCTCTCGGGGGCAAAAAGCGGGAAAAACTTTTTGCATTTGTCTGTTTTGCCCTTTCCCAAGGGCCGAATTAGGCCCATATGCCGCAGGCCGTTGAGAACTATGTTGGGCTTTACACGCTTTCGGCCTGTTAAAAAAACTATTTCCTAGCAATTTTTTAAGGAAAATATTTAGCTAAATTACACGTTTGGTCACTCAAATTATACAAATCTTTCACGTTTGCCACCTGAATTACTTTTCTTTCTTATTCACCACTAACTTTATGAATCGTTTCACCGTTAGTCACCGGCCGTTACATTCCGTTAAATATGTCCTACGTGGCGGTCAACAATAAAGTTTGACCGTTAACTAGATTGCGTGGAAATTAAAAAATATATATATAAATTAATTTATTTTTCCATCTCATCATTCCACTTGGTATATGATTTATAATATTACTTATTTAATAAAAATTAATTAAATTATAAAAATAAATAATATGATTAATGTCCCTCCAAATGATGCCCTCCTGCCTGCCGACGTCGGCGAAGTGTTCTGACTTTTTTACAGTGAAGGTTGTTTTGCCTGAGCTTGCCTTGTCAATGACAGCTTGAGGGGAACACACCAACGAACAACAAGAAAGAAAGTTGCGGGTGGGGATCTAAGCAACAAAACAACTCACCTGTTTTCTTTTTTCCATTTTCAACTTGTGGGTGAAGAAGGGCCTGCTTGTTGTTGATCCGTTCGAATCGTCGAAACGGACTATGGATCTTGGACCTGGGAAAACACAAGAGGATCAGGATCGTGCGTTGACCAAAAACGGAAAGAGGTCGTCTTCTTAATCGACTAACAAAGTAGACCAAAGCATAAACAAACCCAGAAACAAGATTTGGATTCCTGACCATAGACAGAGATCTGTGGGTTGAAAAAACAGAGTTAAAAGAAAAAAAGCAGAGCAGAGAGACAGTGGAGGGGATTTACCGAGGAAAGAAGGAGAAGAAGACGAAGGCAGGAAGAACGATTCAAGGGGCTGAGAAGCGCCACCTCGATGGGTCTGAAGTAGGACAGTACCCAAACCGCCAACGTCACGGTCGTCGCTGCCGCTAGCACACGCCGCCATGGTGTTTCTGAAAGTCAATAGCTTTTTTTCTTTCTAAGATTGCGAGAAAATGGAAAAAAGAAAACAGGTGAGTTGTTTTGTTGCTTAGATCCCCACCCACAAGTTCCTTTCTTGTTCTTCGTTGGTGTGTTCCCCTCAAGCTGCCATTGACAAGGCAAGCTCAGGCAAAACAACCTTCACTCTAAAAAAATCGAACACTTCGCCGACGTCGGCAGGCAGCAGGGCATCATTTGGAGGGACATTAATCATATTTTTTATAATTTAATTAATTTTTATTAAACAAGTAATATTATAAATCATATACCCAAGTGGAATGATGAGATGGAAAAATAAATTAATTTATATATTTTTTTAATTTCCACGTCATCTAGTTAACGGTCAAACTTTATTGTTGACCGCCACGTAGGACATATTTAACGGAGTGTAACGGCCGGTGACTAACGGTGAAACGATTCATAAAGTTAGTGGTGAATAAGAAAGAAAAGTAATTCAGGTGGCAAACGTGAAAGATTTGTATAATTCGAGTGACCAAACGTGTAATTTAGCCGAAAATATTTTCATACATCAAATTTAGAAAAATATGACACGTAAATTGTAATACCTTAAGATTCCAAATTCTATTATGAAAGGAACTGGATATGGTGCTAACACCCTACAATTTTAGCATCCGACATACACTTTTCATAAGAGTTATCGTTATCATTCGTTCGCTGTTAGCTTCCGTCCACCTTCATTCCCACATTTAAGACAAACAGACCCCATTTCTCCACAACGATTAATTTGATCAATTTCAATTATCATTCTCAACTCTTACGCGCTTCCGGAAACCGCAAACCTCCATAACAGCACCGATCATTCTCGGTGCTTCCGCACAACTAACCATCATTGAAAAATCCTTCACTACGTCGCAAACACAACACCAATCAATCATCGGCACTTCCACACCGCTCGCCGCCATTTTCAACCATTCTTTCGAGCTTCCTATCATTCTTGCGTCGTAAAAACCGACTCCAAGCTATAGCAAACTAGGTCAACATTTTCTCGTTAGTCCAATTCACTCTACGCATTCACGTTTGTGGCGTCTTTAATTAGGATTATGGTGCATGTCCACATATTTGTGGTCTCTACTTTGTGGTAAACTTTAGTACTGATGTGGAATAATAAATCTTAGGTTTAAATAGTTTCCAATGCTTGTGGTGTCTTTTCAACGAATTTGTGGTCTAGAGCAGTAGGTTTCTTATTTGAATTGACTTCGACACCTGTGATGTGCTTTATTTACTTCCATATCCTTCAGATTTGTGTTCTCTATTTTGTGGTCAATTTAAGTAATGGTGAAGAACAATAGATCTTACATTTACGTAGTGTTCAACGATTGTGGTACCGTTTCAACGAATTTGTGGTTGGGATTAGTAGGCTTCTTATTTGAATTGACTTTGACACTTGTGGTTTGTTTTTCTTTACTTTCCGATATGCTTCATTAATCTTATTGTGTGATTTCAACATATTTGTTGTTTGGTTAAACAGGTTACTGATCTACATCCATGGATTTCTGGTTTTAATTGTGTTCAACAATTGTGGCTTGTTTAATCACTTTTGTGGTTTGCTTAATTAATGTTCTGGTATGCATTATGTACATAGTGGTCTGCTTCATTTCATGAGTGTTTATCAATTGTGGCTTTGTTTAATCACTCTTGTATTTTTCTTAATTAATGTTCTGGTATACATTATATGTATAGTGGTCCGCTTCATTTCATTAGTGTTGTGATATTGTTCCACAAGTTTGTGGACTACCAAATTAAGTTTATGTTCTCTTTCAATAAAGCGTTGTGGTGTGATATTTGACATTTCTAATATATTTTTCCTACGTTGTGGCCTACCTTATTCACTAACTTCTTTCTCTGGTTTCCTGTGTCATAGGTACAAGTAACAATTAGTGCGATTATGTTTGAGAAAGCAGTGAAGATATACAGCAGGCAAAATAGTATTAAGCTTATAAAAGGACCAGCACAAACAACAACAGCGGAAGCTTCTGGCAAAAATGGAAAGAAAACTAGGAAACCCGTGTTCAAGTTGTCATTCGGCAAAAGAAATCGTTGCAACCCCGATAGAATACTGGATGTTATCTTCAAAGCTAAAAATGTAACTGATACAAAGTTGAGCCAACTAAAAATGTGTGGGTTTGAACATGTGGCAAGTGTGAAGATCACAAAAATGTCAAATTCTTTTGTCATGTGGGTTCTCAAAATCTTTGATGTGCAAATCTAGTCTTTCCATCTATTGCGTCATAGTGAAATCAATATAACAGAGCACGACATGGGGAGGGTGTATGGGCTGCCACGAGGTCAATATGAGGTTGATATTACAAAAGAGTTAATCACACAAGTGAAGAGTGCATGGGGAAAGAGTTCAGGTCTTCCACTTGTAGCAAAGGAAATGCCAAGCTCGAAGATGTGACCTCGAGCTCGGGTTCGGGTTTGGTTAAAGCAAAACCGAAACCCGAAAACCTGAATGCCTAAGAATACGGACTGAGTGCTAGTTCTTGGATGTTTTCAGCCGAAACCCGAAAAACCGAACCCGAAAACCCCGAAGCCCGAAACAAACCCGAACCCGAAAAACCAAAAATGTATCTAATCGGGTCTGTTTTGGGTAAACCCGAAAAACCGAACCCGAATGGACACCCCTATATGTGGGATGCTTTATACTTGTGGTATGCTTTCTCAAATTTATGGACTTGTTGCAGTGTCTAGTGGACAACTTTGTGCTACTTGTGGCCTCACATTTGTACCTTGAAAACTCCATATACTTCTCTTCACAACTCCTTTGGTCCTCCATAGTTGTACAATGGTTGATCCAAATTCTCATAGGCCGTGTTGTACCTTGAAAACCATAAAAACATACCAAGAATGCATCAAAGAGTACAAAAACATATCCTAGGTCTATTAAAGGTTCATTGATCAAATAGTTATGATTTATGTATTAAATACAAGAAAGTGCTAAATATGCATTGATAGAAGGGGAAAATGTATCAAACATGGGAGTGATAAATACTAAAAATAGAGTGTCATCAATAGGTGCTTCAGACCATATATCATTTCGTAAAACCTTATTCAGTGACCAACACCAAAGTGTCTAATACATATATAGGATTAATCAAATTGCCATTGGTTTCTTTATGTATGATGTGCTATTAGTCCTTAGATTTTCTTCCAACCTAAGTTCAGTTAGTAAATTAACTAGAGACTTCCCAATCTTATTACAATTCGAATATGATAATTTTCAAATCAACGACCTTCTAAGCATTGAAGAAGATGGGTTAGCGAGAGAAACTAGAAGACTCAATTATCTTCCCTTTCTTTCAAGTCATTGCAAAACCTTGCAGCCTTTATCCAAACGTCAAATAGCTTCTTTCAACCACAAACAACTTGACCTGGCACTAGAGATTGAGACACCGTTGCCATGATAGAATTTTTTTTAACTCATCATACAACTCTAGCTGTAACTAGTAGTAGGATCAAGCATTGTGAATTATGTCACCTATCTAAACATTAGAAACTCACATTTCCTATTAGCACTAACACTGCACCTGATGTCTTCCATTTGATTTATGCAGATATTTGGGGTCCTCTATCGGTTACTTCTTATGATGGGTACATTTCATTTCTTAATATGGTCGATGATTGCTCTAGAGTTGTTTGAGTTTACTTAATGCACCATAAAAGTGAAGTGAGAGTATTAATAGAGTGATGTGTAGCTTGATCAATCATTAATTTAACAAAATAGGCAAGACAGTGAGAAGTGACCAGAGGAAGGAATTTGAAATTTGTGAATTTTTCACAAAAGAAGGCATAGAACACCAAGTCTTATGTGTAGAGACACCAGAAAAAAATGGAAGAATGGAGAGAAAACATTAACATATACTAAATGTTGCAAGATCTTTGATGTTTCAATCTGGTATTCCTCTTGAATATTAGATTGGCTATGTTCTTCATTATGTGTATCTCATAAACATAATTTCAATGACTATTTTAAGCAACAATTCACCTTATGAATTCTTGTATCAACAAACTCCTTTACTGGGAAATCAAAGAGTTTTTGGTTTCTTATGTTATGCTAGTACGCTAGCTTAGGGGAGAACTAAACTTGCTCCCACAACTAGACAATGTGTGCTTTTAGGCTTGCCGTCGGGAATTAAAGTGTACAAGTTATTAGACTTACATGATAACAAGGTGTTAATATCAAGACATGTCACTTTTTTTGAAGACATTATTCCTTTCAGGAAAGAGGATATTGAGTCACGCATCGATCCTGTACCACCCACCATTCCATCTACTTCCCACGTTCCAGCTTTTTCTCCTGCCATTGTTGTCCCCCTTTATGATCTTCTCAACCTTCACTTCAACTTCTTCATCATCTCTTCAATTTCATTCATCTATAGATGAAGGGGGCATCCTAAGGAACACACCTCCTCTTTCAAATCTAACCATTACAATTACTTTGATGCTTATGAGCAAGAATTACTCCCACGGCAGGATGTGAATCCATATGAGATTGGCTTAATGATATAATGAAGACCACCTAGAAATATCAATAATCCAAATACTATCACCTAGACACTTCTTTGCAGTTGTATTAAGTATACAATATTTTTGAATGTGTATAACTTGAGTCCAGCATATAGAATATTTGCTAAGAGTGTTGTGAATCAAGTTGAACTAACCTCCTATTATGAGGCAATTAAGAGTGATGTATGGAATATAGTAGTAGATGTTGAGATACATTCACTGGAAGAGAATCAGATATGAGACGTAATCCCATTATCAAAGGAAATTGGTAACAAATGAGTGTTTAAGATTAAATTTTTACCTAATGGCACAATAGAGAGGTACAAGGTCAGACTTGTAGCTAAAGGATCCACCCAGATACATGGGACTGGTTTCTTGGATACATTTTTCCTTGTAGCCAAGATAAATTATGTCAAAGCATTTTAGGTAGTAGGAATAATGAATAGTTGTATAGTAAAGCAACTTGATGTGTCTAATGCCTTCTTGCATGGAGAATTGGAGAAGGAAGTTTACATGAATATTTATTTGGGAATCATAGTACCTAATTCTAATGGACAAAAAGTGGCACACAGACTATAGAAGTCATTGTATGGGCTTAACCAAGCCTTAAGG